AGTGTTGATTCTTTCCAGATAGGCTTCCCAACAAAAACTACCAACCCTAGGAGGTATAGCTCTGCACCAAACCTCACCAACAGGGAAAGGGGACAAGGTAGGACTGGTGGATTGACTTAAGACTTTGAAGAACGAAGAACAAGAGAAAATGCCATTGGGGGTAGGTATGCAGATTCTAGAATCCGCCCTAGTGGGGTCTAAGACAACGTTATCAAGAAGTGCAAGAAGGCTCGAAATACAGTCGAAGTCTGAGTCCCTCAAATCCCTTCTTAGACCCAAGTTCCACCCAATCCCTGAAGTGGAAGAGGACGGGGTGATGAAAGACGAGATCGGCTCATTTTTCAAATCAGAAAGAGCATACAAAGACGGAATCTCATTTCTTTTAGACAAATCCTCTCTCTCTAATTGCCCATTAACCTCTTGGGATTCTATATTTGCAATATCCGCTAGCAACTTGTCTTTTTCTTCTGAGATGTTTTTGAATGTCTGCTTACTCCATTCCTTCAATTTCTTTTTGATATATTTTAGCTTTTGCCCAAACCTAAAACTTGCCCAACCTTCAGGAGGACGTTCTTCCCACCGTTTGGTCACTTCATCTTTGAAGTCAGGATGGAAAATCCAAATTTTCTCAAACCTGAAAGGGCTTTTAGCCACTTGTAGTTTTTCTGTATCCAACATTACTGCTCAATGGTCTGAAGTACAGCGATGTCTGGTTGTCTGAACAGTTTTGGGGAAGTGATTCTCCCAATTGGAAGAGTAAAGAAATCTGTCCAACCTACTACAAACTGCTTCAGCTTGCAACTTGTTGTACATGTTTTGTTTCCTTCTTTCTTTTTATGAGGTTATACTTGTTCTCAGAAAAAAAAAAGATTATTTGATGTTTTTAATGAAATCTTGAAACTTTAAGGGGTAAAACATGAAAAGTGAGTGTTTGTTGTGCACCTCAGCCTCAGAGAAGGTTTCACACCTTCTATTGCATTGCAGTTTCTCAAGTTCAGTGTATTAGCACTGATTCTTGGCGTGGGGGCTTATGTTTGAGGTGTTAGTGGTGAAATTTTTGCTTTTCCTGGTACTGGGGTTTTCTGCCTTTTCCTTTGCAAATAAATTTACCTTTTTTATAAAAAAAGGCCTGTGAATCTTACTCATATGTAAATGTATATAATTTTGCAGACTCTATGGTTGCTTTGGATCAAGGTGAAAAAGGAATTGGGGCCATTATTGGGGGGAGGGGGACATCTGAGCAAATTTCCGCTTGTTTGGTTCCAATTACATGTTGCAGAGAAATTTGGAAATTTGCAGGCTAAAAGCTTTCAATTACTTGCATTCCAAGTTCCTTGGTTTGTCATTGAATTCTGTCAAATTCGGTTTGGAATGGAATTCAATTTTGTTCCATTTCTCAATTCCATGGTTACATGAATATATCCCAAGGGTTGTACTGTAGGAATATAAACAAATACAAATCCTCTACACTTGTCGATGAGAATGAAGACAACCTCTCCAAGGGTTTTCCCATGGCAGGGCGTAAGACAGATATCAGTATGACAAGAACAAACAGCACATCCCTGAAACTTCAGTCTAGAACAAACATAGGATCAATCCTAATGCTGTGTATTATTGACAAGCTATCTGCTGTGCTTATCTAGTGGTTAACCATTGTTGACAAGAAAATCAACCAACATAAATAGCACACTAAAAATGACATTAATCTCATGTAGTTAACTTCTTTGTTTTTTTTTGAAGGGTGGAGTATCTTGTGCTGGATGAATCTGACAAGCTATTCGAACTTGGTTTTGTCAAGCAAATTGATTCTGTGGTCAAGGCATGCTCAAATTCTTCAATAGTGCGCTCTCTGTTCAGTGCTACGTTGCCTGATTCTGTTGAAGAACTTGCCCGTACAATAATGCATGATGCAGTACGAGTTATTGTTGGTAGAAAGTATGTATGATGTATAATCAATTCCAGAGCACTCTCTACAAATGTAGTATAAGTTTTGGGAAAAACATGGCTTGCTTATCCGTAAACTTTAAAGACCATATATAAACTAGCTCATTGTTCATTTGAGACAGATACAAAGCGATGGGATGCATTATCTATTATTATTGATATTGATCTGATCTTTACAGAGTGCATACAGTTCGGCAGTTCGCCAGTAGCCCAGTTCAGTTCTTTCTCTTCACCGGAAGATAATGCATCCCATCGCTTTGTATCTGTCTCAAGAAAGGTCTAATGGATGGATATGATATTGATCTGATCTTTAACTGGCTTAAGAAATCTTGTCATGGAGTTCTATTTTCCACGTCTTTACATGTTTATCATATGTTGTATTGTTCCTCTTTTTCTGCAGTCAGCTTTTGAGAAATGGATGTCTTACTTTTTTTTAAAACCTTTTGTTTGATAGAATTCAAATTCCAGTCTTGTTATTTAATTTCAAATACTTGCTCACTTTAAACAGGAATACTGCTTCGGAACTCATAAAGCAAAAACTTGTTTTTGCTGGAAGTGAGGAAGGGAAGTTGCTTGCACTTCGGCAAAGTTTCAAGGAGGTATGGCCTGCTAATTTTCATGTTGTATAAAGAGTTTACTGCCTTCTATATTGGGCGCCAATTTTTGGGACTGTATGGTTGTGAGCAAATTCTAAATTGGAACTTGTGGCCATGGTTTTTAAAAACAACCCGGTGACCGAACTGGTCAGGGGTCCGGTTACTGGGCCGTTCTGACAAAAAAAAACAAAAAACAAAAAACTGTCAAAACCGTTTGAACAGTTAACCGCCTGGGTCAGCGGTTTGCTGACCAAAATCAACAGTTTTGGGGAAAACCGAAACTGGTCACCTGACCAGTTCCCAGTTCCCGGTCTGACCATCCGGTCCGGTCTGGTTTTGAAAACCATGCTTGTGGCCCAAAATGAGGATTAAAAACCAAGACAGGTGGCATATGCCAACTGGTGGCTGTTCTCTCAGCTCAATTAGATGGTGTTTGCAGCAACGCAAGCATCTGGAAATCTCTTATATCACATAGTCATATGCTCATTATAACTGATTTACCTCTGGTGATACCGCTGGTGATGATACTGCATTTCTGTTATGTTGATTAATGAACTGACAGATACAGAATTATAGATGTAGTTTCAAGATACCTGTTGGATAGGTTGAACCATCAAAATTCCCAAGTGAAATATAAAATGCTCACCTTTTATTTAGGGGTGGGGGGTGAAGAGGGTTTGTTCCCTCTGTAGCAAGAGGTAGTTTGGCAGTTCCCTCCTTGTACATTAAACTTATTCTTTTTCCTTGCATTACTAAACTTTTCATGTTCCATAGAAACAGTAGAACCATAACTTTTGTGAGGTCATTCCTTCTTGATTTTTTGTCTTTCAATTATAAGTTGGGTTCATCTTCACCTTTCTAACTAATGCCTTTGGCCCATTTTTGTGGGTTTTGATCTCATTTTGGGTGGACAGAGTCTGAACCCACCTGTACTATTGTTTGTCCAAAGCAAGGAACGGGCAAAGGAGCTCTACAGGGAGCTGGCATTTGACAACATAAGAGTTGATGTTATTCATGCAGACTTGTCCCAAACACAGGTAACCTCATAAAACAACCCCAATATATTGAAGCAGTTTTGCAGTAATAATAGAAAAAAGAAGCAAAAAAGAAAAGTTTTCAGGATTAGCTACAGGCTAAGTAGAATGATGCCTTTTGTTCAAGTCTTCATGATGATCAATGGTTTCTTGTATTCTATTTGCATTACTTGCCAACAATTTTTAAGATGATTGTGCACTAATGGGTTCTTCTATTAACACAGAGGGATAATGCAGTCGATGATTTCAGAGCAGGGAAAACATGGGTTTTAATTGCCACAGATGTTATTGCTCGGGGTATGGACTTCAAGGGCATAAATTGTGTGATTAATTATGATTTTCCTGAGTCTGCTGCTGCATACATTCACCGGATAGGTATGCCACTTTATCACTTCTTGCTCCTAATGTGCTTCATGTGTATCAAGTGGATTAATCAGATCTTTTGGAGTAGTTTCGAATAGTTGTGGGTATGTGATAGATGTACTTGGATGTTTGGTATTCAAGATTTTAAGCTCCAGCAATGTAATGAAAGCTAGTTATAAGAATTGTAGGTTTATGAGTATTTTCATAATCTTGCAAAAATTTGAGTGTTGAATACTGATAAAAAGTATAGAGCAATTTTGATACTCAGAAGGATGTCATGCCCATATCAATTTGAAAGCCTGTGTGGATAAATCACGGGAAAAGAAGGGATAGAGAAAAGCCTGTATGGATAAGTAATCTTTGAAAACAGCTGAACTAGGAGCTGAATTGTGAATACTGAAAAGATTTAAATTTGAAAATTCCCTTAAATTGGGACTTTTTGGCATGTAGTAAAAACTTTGGGGGTGAAGTTGTCACCCCAGTATCAGAATCATTTTAGCATCCAGGATGGGGGAGGTGAGTTGCTGAATGCTGAATTTTTGGTTTTCAAATTGGACTCTTCAGCATTCACATTATCAAATACTACCAATTTGTAGATAATAGTGATGAGTATAACATTTTTACCCTGTTTTAAATCATCATCATCCATAACTTATTTGCTGACAGTTTGGAGAGATCAGGGAAAGTTGCTCCTCTCTTATGGTTTACTGAAACTAAAGCCTGTTGATTTTACCCAGGTCGGTCTGGCAGAGCAGGGAGAAGTGGTGAAGCTATTACTTACTACACGGAAGATGATGTTCCATTCTTGAGGAACATAGCCAACGTGATGAAGTCTTCAGGGTGTGAGGTTCCATCTTGGATCATGGCCTTGCCCAAACTCAAACGGAAGAAGCACCGACCACAGAGAGATTCCATTTCAACCAAACCAAAAGATGAGGAAGATTGATGCAGCTGTTTTCACACTTCACTGCAATGGGGAATGTTATGTACCATTCGCATATATGGCTGCTCACCAGTTCCAATTGTAATTTGTTCCCTCCCGACTTCTAATTTATGCATGATGTCGAGGATAGCTTGGCGCTTTGGGACATGATCTCAAATTTTTATAGCTTTATCGAGTTATTCATATTTTTAATTGATCATTTCCCAACAGGGGGAATAATGATTTGACTTGGAAGCTTAGTATATTCTGGTCGACCTCTTGTATTATTACTCAGCATCCATCCCAGAAGTCTAACCTACATTTGTGAACTCATGCCAAATTAACTGCAGGAATTCTAAGAAAAGATTTAAGAAAATGTCAATCCAAATCACATCCATAAAAATCAAATACATGGAAGCATCGACAAATGATAATTCATGTTATCTTATCTTTGATCTCAAAGAGGTTAAAGAACCAGAAACAGGRAATAAGAAAAACAAAAACACTCCAAACGGAATCCAAGGGTGTAAATGTAATGTAATTGATAGAATCAGAAACAGCTGGATAGTAGCATTTGCAATTACGATCTCAAACTGTTCCTCCACTTCTTTGCAGGCCAATCACATTGGTGAGCCCAGCGTGGATGGTGCCCATGTAAAACAATTGTGTCCCACTCAGAATAATGGTTAACACCTCCATTGTGCGCTGTAAAACAATTTTAGAATAACATAAAAATCTGTAAACAAAAACTGTAGAGCGTTCCTGAGGAGATGGGCTTTTATCAGGGCAAATCTGTGCCAAAACCATTCTAACAACCTTTTGTAACATTTCATTGGGAGTATCTCTCCATGAAATAAAAGTTGCCTGAATGGGCTTTACCCTGAATTTGGTTTTATTGAGAATAGGTTTGCGTTATTTCCTGCACTCCTTTGGTGCATCTATTTTGTATCAGAGATGATGATACTTACTAGGTTCGCGTCTCTCCAGCCTATATTAATCTCTTTGCATGCCAATCTGCAATAGAAATAAATAATTAGCTAACTCTAACGTTCAATTATTCACACGAGGGATATTCCAAAACGTAAAGAAGTGATGAAGCTTTAAAAAGAAGAAATAATTTACCCCATAGCTAGAAGAGTGAGAGACCACGTCAAGATAGAAGAGGATGCAGATGAGAGTAAGTTGGACAAATTCCATTGAAGGACATTACCAATCCCAGAGACTGAGGTGGCAATGCCCACAAGTCCAGCGATGAGGGAAACAATGACGAAGAATCCAGTTGCCATGTTTCCAATTGGAAAATATATTGGAAATATGTGGGCTGGGATTGGTACTGCATAGACAATAGAGAATGATAAACAGAATCAGCTATTGCATCTTAGAGTATCTTTGATAACTGTATTTATGTCCGCTGGTTTCAATCCTAGACAAGAGTCTATAGAGCTCTCTATTCATTTTTATTAGAGCAAACCATTTTGAAAATTTTGCCCCTATTTCTTTCAGTCATCTAAGCTATTGCTTCTTGATTAGATTATTACAAAGAGATTTGTATCCCTCTGGTTATGGCCTCATAGAAACACTGGTGACACTACGGTTATGGCCACATTGGCTCGTGACCCATCAGGCCATCACTCACCGGATTTAGATCCAGGACAGAGAATCCAACAATGACTAAACAAGGTTGTGTCATAAAATCCTTTAGAATAACGAGTAAGACGGTTCAAATTTTAGATTACCTGTTGTAGGAGTATGCTCAATCCCATAGTTGATGGCCCATCCAGCGATGATGGTGACGATTACATACATCAGAAGATTGAGGATTAGGAGGGTGAATGCCATTACTTTGGTTGCTCCAGAAGCCATTGCTTCTTCTAAACTCGAAAAGGTCCTCTACAGAAATAACCTTGACCTTCTTCAGTCCAAGAATGAGAGAGAAAGAGTCATGTATACATATACCGAGAAAAAGTAGCCCCTTGATATTCCTTACACCTATGTTCTTCATCTTTCATAATATTTGTCGTCAGTCCAAAGAAATGCTTTCGAAGTTTCGATTCCTTGCCCTTGTGAATCGTGATTGCTTTTGCCTCGAGGTGTGGCCAAAGAATCCCTTTTTACGTAGGTTTCTCTTTTGCCTTCTCTTTTTTTTTTTTTTTTTTTTTCTGCCTGGGACCATTAATGCACATCGAAGGCATGTTTGGCCACAGATTGTCACCAACCTAAGATCATGGTTTGAAGAAAAGAATATGCATCTTTTCAGACTATAGTTTTGATGCAACCCAGCAAATCTATAGATAGCTAGAACGTCCAGAAATTAGAAGGGAAACAATAATGCAAATGCCACTGATTATGAAATTACCAAAAGTGTTCAGGAAGCCATCATGAGGTTCAAGATGTACTGCATCTTTGGAGTTATTTATCACTAAACTGGACGTGACCATGCACTCACTTGAACCTTCATTTATAAGGGATCCTCTCTAAAAAGCAAAAAACAATAACAGAAGAAAATGACACAAAGGGGCTTTGTGAGTTTGATCCTGAGCACCCCCCCCCCCCTAAAGTCCTTATGGTTCCAAGCTTCTGAACCCATCTTCAGGAAGTTGTTTCACACCTTCAGGGACAACTTCTGAGCTGCAAGTGCTTCGGCCTCGAGTGTGGGCTCCCACAGTATGGTAGTCTCAGCCAGCAATGAGGTCACAACATATGGGTCCATGTTCGAAGCTGGACGACGATCTTCCAAGTAACCTAACAAAAAGAAAACAGCAGAGCAAGATTGTCTTACCATCAACTTTTTAACAAGTAGTATCTGCATTATTGCTTTAGATATGAGAAGTGAATCACCCCCTACCTTTCCCTTGTTTCTCTGTGTCACGTCCAACACGGATTGAACAACCACGATTAGCCACCCCCTGCAAGTCACGATTGTTTGATCTTGTAAGAATGGTAGGAGACACAGTTTATGCTTTTCTTTGTAAATTACTAATCTTCAAAATGGGTGGTGATGTCTCCAAACATACCCAGGAAAAGGTGTTAATGTTGGCCGTCTCGTGCTTTCCTGTCAACCTTCGCTCATTTCCTTCTCCATAAGCACTGATGTGCTCCTTGTGGCGAAGGGACAGATTGAGAATTGCTTTCTTGATCACTTCAAACCCTCCCTCCTCTCTCATGCTCTTAGTACTGTGTGAACTGAATTAGTAACTGTCTAATACTGTTTACTAATGCTTATAGTATACTATATTTCTTTATAAGAGATCAAGATGGTGGTCTGAAAAACATGAATTGATTAATGTTTTAAGGTCCAATTGGCCACAATTAATTGATGATTAAAATGAATTCCTCAAAATACCTGTAATTAGTGTGACATCCTGCACCATTCCAATCACCCTGGCATGTGATAAATAAATAAATAAATAAATAAAATGAAGGATTCATAAGGAATTTTATTAATTAATCAAATGTGTAAATATTTCTTGAGGAAACTGGAGATGCAAGGTACCTCTATTGGTTTTGGGTCAAGAGTAAGAACAACACCAGCTTGTTCAGTAATTCTCTGTTAGAAGAAAGTACAGAAGAATTATAAATATTAATTCATAACAAAATGTTTTTAGCAGCTCTATATATGCCAGCCCATAGAGAGTGACTCATTCACTCAGCAACAGACGAGACTTAATTTTCCTCATTCTACAACTACTTGATCATGAGCAAGTGGTCATCAGATGTGTGCCCACCACCCTAATATCTGGGTTTTACCAAATATAAATATATAAGTGAATTACCTCAAGAATATATCTAGAACACCATATATGATCTCCAGCTTCAATCCCAACACTAGGACCCACTTGATATTCCCACTGTAAAATCATCACAAATTCACAATTAACAAGGCTAAGAAACATTGAAACTACTGCAAATACATTAAGCAAAGCTAAGAAAGAAAAAAAAGGAGAGAACCTGGCCTGGCATGACTTCTCCATTGGTACCACTGATGTTGATCCCAGAATATAAGCAAGCCTTGTAGTGAGCATCGGATATGTCGCGCCCAAATGACTTGTCTGCTCCAACCCCGCAGTAGTAAGGACCCTAATGTATTAAGATAAAGCAAAAGGGTAAGTATATTGTTTATTAGAATTCAATATTACATTTCATCAATACCAATTGAAAAAGCACTGCGATTTGGAAATACGGGCATCATTATTATAAATCAAAAGAAATAAAACTACGTTTAGTAATCTGTAATTAGCAAGAAGCTTACCTGGGGACCAGGGTAGGCTCCAATAGGCCAACCAAGAGGCCATTTCACATTTGTTTGGAGTAAGGTGTACTCTTGTTCTATCCCATACCTAATTTAGAAAAGTCATAAATCATTAGCGAATTTGAGTCTTTTATCCCTACTAAGTCCAAAAAAAAAAAAGAAAATAAAAAAAAAGCCTAGAAGCTCAATAAGGCACAGTATTATACCATTTTGTAAAATAACATCCCATTCTCATATTAAGCAATATTTGCAATTAGATTTAATCAACTGAATACCAGAGTTCATTGACAGGATGTAATGCCGATGATGCCCATATTTGTATGCACATAACACATTCTTGTATTTATGTACATTCATACATAACACATTCTTGTATTTATGTACATTCATGCATAACACATTCTTGTATTTATATGCACTCATCATGTCTAAGCTCCGAATCAACTTACCATGGGACTTCCTGGACGACCTTTGGGTCACTGAAGATTTGAGCAGCCCTGTACCTTTTGTTTGTTGGTATGGGCTCCCCTGCTGGCGTATATGAATCACAAATTACCTTCATAAGATCAAACATAAATGTATTATCAAACAAATTTGACGAGAAATAGTATACCCTTTGCATTAAATCACAAGATAAACCACCACCTTAACTTTCAAGGTTTCTTATACTCACCAAGATGTTGTTACCACCTCGGAAAGGATCTTTGAAAATGGCTTGAGGACTAGAGAAGAAAGAGAAAAAAAAGGGAATGACAATAAATATATGAAAATTTTCATGGTATAGGAAATGAAAAAAATATTTTTTTCCATTGAAAGATCTTACTATAGAATTACTTCACTATCTTCTCCTGGGGCTTGCCCGGTGCTTGAACCATCATAGTTCCACTTGGGAAGCTCGGAAGGGTGTTCAACGGGCTTTGAGATTGTCTAAACATTTAAAAAGAACGAAAGAAAGACGGAAGCTAAAAAGAAGTTACTACATTCTCTTATAAAATCAAAATAAACTAAAAAAAAAATCATACCCTGGACTTGCTACGCAGATCAATCCCAGACCCCCCGATCCTGATTCAAATTAAGATGATTTCTTGTAAATGTCAAGTGGGTTAAATATTTAATAGCAAATAATAACACAAGATGGGATAAAAGCTGCTGCTGCATATATTTTAGTGCACAGCCATGTATCTATGGATATGAAAAATTGACTCAAATTGCTACATCTGGGATTGGCCATAGCCTAAAACTTATACTGAATTACTAATCTAAATCATCTGAATGGTTTAGAAACTCGCTTACAAATCAATCATTAGTTTAGTTACAGCAACTCTTAAGCTAGAGCCACTTAACGATGGTTATATCATTTCATGAATTCGATGACATTAAGATGAGAGTGGAGGAAATAATATACCAGATGTACTCAGCAATGATCTTATCAGTGTAGGGTGTGGTGTCCAACTTGAGCAAATCCTCCAACCTGTTCACAGTACTGCTTTCAGACTGCAGAGCAAACACTCTAAATTTAGCAGAGCCTTTAGCTGCTCCCTTTCTTTTCTGATTCAATAGTAGGGAACTCCACATCTTTGCTGTTATGGGTCTTGCACTGCTTGAGTTCTTTGTCATCTTTATCTGCCATTGTATTGAAGGCGCCAATATCTGGGCCATTTTCACCTATTCAACCTGAAAATTGAAACACAAATAAATAAATAATGTCCCTAATCACTTTTCACATTTCCAAAACTCCATAACCTTTGTTATGGATCTCAAATATTTTTCTCCAACAAAAATCAGCACTGCATTGTTGAACTACATTGAACAGCACCATTCCGATTGAAGCAACATACATATCAACTGTCTTGTGTAAACTATGCGATACCATCATTCAATCATTTTTTTTCTCTGAACAGTAAAGGCTGTCTATTGTAATGTAACTACTTCAAAAATAAGGCTCAGATTCAAAGGAATACAAATACATATAAAATAATACAAAATACAAGAGTTGCACTCTAAAAATTGCATACGTTTTAAAGCCAAACCTGCTAAAATTATCTGTTGGTCCGTAATGACCGTAAGCCTGGTCCATGGCCCACAAGCCTTAATTTCATAAGCCCGAACTAATCCATTGTGATTTGTGATGTAGCCAAATTAAAGCCCAAATCCCTTGAACCTTGGGCCTTGGGCGATAGGTGGAGCCCACATAAAGACCTGGGCCAAAAGCCCACTCTAACACGTTTATATCTGCCTAGTGCCTCTAGGCCGCCCTAGACCTAGGCGCCTTACCCTAGGCTGACTTCTAGAGAACTACCAAAAGAGAAGCCCCACACATGTACAAGTGGGCACACATGTCGAGGGCAAGATCAGTCAATTGAGACAAGACCTGTTCATGGGCCGGGTCGGGCCGGGCTTAGGCCGGGCTTTCACTTGTCACTAATGAAAATATACTAGGCCTGAGTCCGAGCTCGGCCCGACCAACGGGCCTATAACTTGGGCCCGAGCCCGGCCCTGGTAAAAAGCCCGAAGCCCGAGCCCGAGCCCGAAGCCTGACCAAATTGAAAAAAAAAAACAATTTTCCCTATTCAAATTAGAATTAAAATTTCAGATAAGTATTTTTTTTTTCTATTTAAAGGAACAATGGGCCTACAAGATGGTATTTTTCCCTTTCTTTTATATTTTAAAACACAATTTTACATTCTTAAATCAAAAAAAATTATTCAAATGGACATAATCATATAAATAATTTTAAGTTTAATATTAGGTTGGGTCGGGCCGGGCTCGGGCCGGGCTATTTTGACAAAACCCGAGCTCGGCTCGAATTTATTGTGGGCCGGGCTTTTTGGTCCGAATTTAAGCCCGCAGGCCTATAAAAATGTCCAAATCCGTCCGGGGGTCGGGCCGGGCCGGGTCGGGCCACCCGGCCCATGAACAGGTCTCAATTTGAGACCCAACCGGGGAAAGCCTCTAAAGTGGAAAATCACAAAGCTGGATAACCATTAAACTCATAATATTCTACTTGCCGAGTAGGAATAAAACAATTGACAAAATAGAAAATCATTAAATCCACCACTACTCACTACGGAAGTTTACCAGTAGCTGCCTCTTTACAGAAGTATTGACTCTGCGCTGGCCAAAGTTCAGAAATTACCTGGAACTACCTCCCCTTTATGTATTTTTACAATATCCGACAACAATAATCACTACACTACAGGCAGCTAAATGTAATTTTCCCCATAATAGCACAGTCTGCCTTTCCAAGACGTAAGGACGGATCATTTTCCAGTTCCCAAATCCCACCCACCAAAAGAAATCACGAATCATTTGCCTGTTCCAATGAGATTCACAGGCAACCAGGTTAGATGACAGATTGACAGGCCACCCACATCTCCTGGTCCTGGGTTCTACTTCTCCATGTTGAATGGGTGCGCCTGAGCTAACTCCTTTGCAATAATGCATGTAAATTAATGAAATGTATGTGATTGCTGCGGAATGGTAATGGATTCAAGTAAGGACTAAAGCTACAGGATTAAGAGATTAGACTCCTAATATTTTTCAGCAAATGGACAAGTGATGTGATGACAATCCCTATTCCTTAAGCCAACCGGCGGAAAGCATTTCGGCGGTAAAGTGTAACTACACAATGGAATCGCCAAAACGCCCCTCAGTCATTTCGTAACCCTTGTGAAAGAAGAGTTCCGAGATGTCTCGATTATATTGTCAGGCTCCGACTACCAGCATGTCGGATCCCGCCAATCAGTTGGCCAATTTGTCAGACATTTCCTCCTTTTCCTCGGAAGGAGTGAGAAACAGAGTATCGTGTAAGAATTACCTGAGGAGAACTGACGAGGGACGGCCGGAAAACCGAGCTTGGAACGTGTGCTGTGCTTATAATGGAGACTCTACTGATTACTAAACGAACGAACGAGAGGGAGAGAGAGAGAGTATAGAAGAGAGAGCTTTTAAAGGGTCGTTTTGGTTCAAGTGCTATAGATGGGGAGAAAACTGAAAGGTTTATTGGCTTTTCCTATAAGATAGGGTTGTGTTTTGGGTGGAGGAAAATAGTTTTTGGCTTCTTGGATTCAAAGGGGCATTTAGTGACAAATATAAATGTCTTAAGCAAAGCAACAACATAAATCTCTCTCTCTATTCTCTAGTCTCTAGAGACAACAACTATTTTTTAATTGTTAAACCTAGAAATGTATAAACTAAATTACAAGAAAGTGTTTGAGAAATAATACTATAATGTGAGAGATCCAATGTTTCTTTTTCACTAGTTCTAAATTTCTTATTTTAGATTAGTCGGTTCTTCTTTCTGTTTTCCTTTTGGTAAGTGGTTTATATTATACACATTCTGTTTCTTAGAACAAAAGAAAACAGGGGACACGTTTTTTCATTTGATTTTGTCCTAGAAGTGGTTGTTGCCATGCTGGTGAGAATTACCTTTTTGTGCATTTTTGGGACCAGTGGATAGGGGGGGGGGTGGAATCTTGGAGATAAGAGGTGCACATGTTCACCAAACCATTTGCACCACTGGTTCTAGATCAGATGGGTTGTATAAACTGTTTTTTGTATTTTCAATGAATCAGTTGAGGAAAATAATAAGTTTTGGTTTGGTGAATGTATACAAGACTGGGTTGTTTAGCATTCTGATGGAAAATTTCAGAATTCAAAATTGTATTAGAATGAACTACATATGGAGATCAGGAGTAACAAGTTGTTTATTTTTTTTATTCTTTGGAAATGAATGAGTTGTGGATTTCCAAATTATACAACTGTAATACTTTGAGATTGAGATATAGCACCATTAGTAGCTTTTATTAAAAAAAAGTTTTAACACGTAAGACCCATGTAGGTCATGTGGGTGGTGATTAATTAAATAAGTGCATGATTGTGATTTGTGAAACCCTATTTTTAATATTGAACTCTTCAGTGGATAGAAATAATTTAATAACAGGCAGACATTTTGAGATGGGTTTGGACCAGATGTAGAGCCTGTAAGTGGAATGAGCTTAGACTTGAAATTAGGTCTAATACAATTATGGTTTTCAAAAACCGGACCGAAAATGGAACCATTTTGACTACTGGTTCTCGGGTTAAATGGTCTGACCATTCGATCCAAACCTGGGTCGGACGGTTTTGGGGTCCAAAACTGGATCTGGACTCATGACCGGTTCCCAAGTCAACTGTTCCGACTGTCTGATCTGGTCTGATTTTTAAAACCATGAATACAATGATATGTTTGGGCTTGGACCTGAATTGAAGGCATAAAAGGAAATTTCAAATAGCAAGCCTTGAAAATAAAACTCTCCTTGGTTTGGCAGCTGGCTGTGGATCTGCAGTATTCAAATTGGTTGCAATCATCTCTAGCCCATGGGCATTCCTATTCATGTTTACTCCAAAATGACATTGCCCATGGTTTCTGACTGTGACCTTTTCATATGTTTTCCAGCCAAACCATTCCGTGAACTACACTGTAACCACTACTGTTGGTGATTTCATATGTAAATGAATTTCATCTCATCCATTTGAACGAAGCTTCACTGTGTGATTTATAGAAAACCCATTATTAAGTGGCAAATCAGTCTTAGAGGCACTGGTCATCAGGACCATGTTAAACTTACCAATCTTTGGCTATTTTCATCTCTACCACAGTTAGATCTGCCCTGGTTGGGAAATGATGGCTGAATTGAAATGTACAAATACGAAACTAAATTCCAAAATACACCTTTGTATAAGATGGTTCTCCCTTGTTGGCAAATGCAAATTTGACTTTGTGAGATTCTGCTTTTTTTTGGCTGGGTTTCCCTCAAATCAATTTGTCAGAATTAAAACACAATAATTCTTGTATAAATCAGCTCTCACTTTTTAATGAATAAAATATCAATAATGATGACAAATGCAAGGTTGACCTTGTAGTTGTCAGTTCAGAGATAGCATTTCCTAATCAAAGTAATTAATTAAAGAGCATGATCTCATGAAATGATTAATAACAAATTGAAGTCTCCTAAGCTAACATTTGTTAAGCCAAAAGGGTTCTAAATTCTAACCATTACAGGATGAACAATTAAAAGGATCACCAAACAAGTTATAAATCAGTGAATAATGAGACTTCAGTAGGAGTGTCAAGGCTTGCAAATAACTGAAGAATGAGACTTTGATGTACATGAAATGGAATATTGTGGAGATTTTGTTCAACTACTGAGTTAGTCCTAAACATTTTCTAGTTCTGCACCCTAAGAGAAATATGATCTATGCATCTTCAAATAAGCAACCCCACTGATACTCAATGGTAAAGATTTCACCTTGAAATTTTCAGGAAGCATGAAACTTCACCATTGCCAATATTTGAGAAAGGTATCCATTCTTGCCTAGAAATTGAAGAGTGGTGAACTTCTTTTAGACAAGAATAGTGATAGCCTTCGCATATGATGGAAGGATGAGTCATGAAATGTTAGCATGGTCATCAAAACTGAAGGTGAAGATGGAATAGGGGCACTGGGTTTGGTTTATGTTCAATAGGGTTAGGATTGGATTGATGATCCAATATTTAACAGAGTAAAGGTTCAAAATATTGATAATTCGATATCATATGGGCAATTTGGGCTGATACCAAACAGGTTTTTTTGGCTCAGGGGCACATTACACCTACTAAATACTGATCATCTAGCAAATTCATCAACTGTCTTTTGATACAGACTGACACAAATATTGATATAGACCGATAAGGACTAATGTAATTTAGTACGATACAATGCCAATACTTGCTTTGGTCCCATGTCAAATGAGATGGGATCTGCTGAAAGTAATTAAGAGCACGGTAGTAGCTAGGTATAACAATTCTTCATGAATTTAATACATAAGGATGAGAGATTCCTGATGTATGGTTGGATGTCATGCTCTTAACGTGTTTATATGCTTTTTACTTGTAGTAGATCCAAGTTTATAATGTATTTGGTTTAAAATATTAATACAGTTTGATATTTAATTTTTTTTTTTCAATCTGGTTCAAAAGGGGTTTAAGGCCCATTTATCCTCTAAATCATGGTCTGACTTGACACACCATCCGTTGGGGAATACCAGAAAGCCCCTACAATATGTATCAGTCGATACGTGTTAAAATTTTGAACCTTACCTTTTTCCCTGCTTTTTCCTTCAACCAAACATAGCCTTAGTTCATTTATTTTCTTCTCTCCTCTATCCGTCTTTTCTCTCCCCTTGTAGATAAGATTAAGTGAACGCAATTTCTGTTCAGCAAGCTGTGGAATCAATTATAGCACTCCACATCGATTATAAAATACATAGGGCCCACAACTATTCATCTTCTTAGTCTGCTTTGAATATGCAGAAAAACTTCTGCATCCGCCAATAATATTTTACCACGTCCCGTAACGTAAGCCCAGCTGAGTTAATTTTAACGGCGTTTCTAAACTCCCTTCTTTCTCTTGCTCTCTTCCTGCCTCCTCCTCTCCGCCCTGTTACACCGTCCACCGGTGCACATCTTCTCCTATATCTGGCAACATAGATGGAATCGTTGTCGCTGGAGGGTTTGCAGTTGGTGCCGGGCTTGGTGAGTTTGATCGATGAGAGTGGAATGACCAATGGTACGCCGGCCGAAGTGGACAAGACAATCCCGCCAGAGGTCGGTGGTGGAGCTGGGAGACTCCGGCGTTGGCGAGCTGCTCAGCCTCTAAACGGGCTTTCAGTGAGCCGTTGTTGAAAGAAAAGTAGGCATAGCTAAAGACTGATGGGCGCCACTAAGCTAAGCAATAGGAAAGATATTCAAAATAAATTATCAAACAAAATGACATGGAAGAAGAAAAAGGATTTCATCCAAGCAAGGAACCTAGATTTAAATTTCAGTGGAAAAGGAAAGAGAGATGCTACCATGAAGGAGGTGGAGTTGCATTTGTTGAGAAGTGTGGCTTCAGTGGAGTTGCAAAGCTTGAAGGCTAGGCTCTTCTGTTGTGGAAAATATAGACGTCCTGGTGGCGTTCATATTTGAAAACTATCAATAGAAGGGCATAAGGTTAAATGTTTTAGCTTCTGTTGCTACTAGAAAATCTAATGGATGGCCCTAACTTAACTTAATATGTGTCATTGGCTCTCTATTCACTAATGAGTATCTGTGTGCATTGTTAGTCAAATACTTACCGAGAGAGTCTCCTGTGTGGGGTTCCTCCACTCTGCAATTTTATCTACAGCAATGGTCTTGGCATGGGAGGATTGGAAGACTAGTGTGAGCAGAGCAGGAAAAGAGGGCATGGAGGAAGCCTCTGTTGGATTTTAATTTCATGAGAGATTAATTTCAATGGGTTTGATTGATCAATTACATGAGAAATTGCACCTGTATACTTGATTGAAAAAATCAGTTTTTCTCTTACAAAACCTGTTTTGAACTTGTCCCACATTGGAAAATTATAAGTTTTGTTTTCAATATTTCAATAGGAGCTGATTTACACTCCTTAGAATTAGTAGAGGAGTATGGGGATTCGATACCGCGCAATGCGCGTGCACGCGTGTGTGCGGTGCAATGATGCGCACTTTGCTCTAGTTTTGGTGCGTTGATCACCGTTGATGAGATCAACGRTCACGATTCGATCGGGTGTGATCAAGAGGCACAATTCAAAGTTAACAGTCACCAACTGTTAACTACTTTTTAAACAGTCACAATTTCACACACTCTCTAAACCAGCACCTACCTTTTCTTCATACCTCTTCACAAATTATTTAAGGAGCATGAATCAGACTCCAAAACACACAATTTCGAAATTCACACACTCTCTCTCAATCCGGTCTGCTACAGTCTCACTGAAGGTTTCTTTGGAGACTTTTCAATTTTGCTGGWTGCAGATTCTCGCCCAAGGCTCTGTTGTATCCTGGGAACGAATTTGCCTGTAACCCAATAGCAAACTCAATAAAACTGAGTGGGGGCAAATAACATTCTAAAGACAGTGTCTTCAGATGCGCCTCAGAGCTTCTCCTCCAAAGTTACAGTGACCCCATTCTTCCCCAACAATTTTAGAACGTTATTTTGCAATGGAGGCGGAAGC